CCCCCCCGCAGGTGGCCCGCGCGGGGATGGCTCCGGTCGTGGAGGTGTCGGACGCCGGGCACTGCCGGGCGCTGCTGCTGGAGCTGAACGAGCAGCGGCTGCGGGGCCAGTTCTGCGACGTCACCATCATCGCCGAGGACACCAAGTTCCGCGCCCATAAGAACGTCCTGGCCGCCTCCAGCCCCTTCTTCAAGCGCGCCCTGGCGCAGGAGCCCGCCTGCCCCTCGCCCGCCCAGGTGCTGGAGCTGCCGGGCGTGCAGGCCGGCGTCTTCTCCGACGTGCTCAACTTCATCTACAACTCGCGCCTGGCGGTGCCGTCGCCGGCGGCCGCGCGGGCGCTGGGGGCCGTGGGCCGGCGCCTGGGCATCCCCTCGCTGCAGGGGCTGGAGGCGGCGCCGCCCCGGGACGCCAACGGCACGTGGGCCCCTCCGCCGCCGCCGCCTCCCCCCGCCGTGGGGGACCCCCGCGCGCCCGCCGCCGCCCCCGTGGACCTCACCTGCCCGGCGCGGCCCGGCGAGACGGCGGCGGCGGCGGGCGGGGACACGGCCACGGCGGCACCGTCCTCGCCCTCGCCGGTGTCGCCGGCCTCGCCGGTGTCGCCGGTGTCGCCCGGGCTGCGCTGCGGGCTGTGCGGGCGCGGCTTCAGCTCGGCGGCCGCGCTGGCCTTCCACGCCAAGCTGCACCGCGGGCGCCGCGGCCTGGCCTGCCGCCACTGCGGCAAGAGCTTCATCCACGTCAAGCGCCTGCAGACGCACGAGGTCGGCTGTCGTGACGGGGACGGGGACGGGGACGCCGCCGCCAACGCCGCCGCCGCCGCCGCCACCACCACGACCACAACCACCACGACCACGCCCGCCGGCGCCGGCGTGGCCGCCTCGCCGGCGCCCAAGGCGGCCAAGAAGGCGCTGCTGCTGCGGCACCGGGCGCTGGAGCCGGGCCCCGAGCAGGAGCCGGTGGTGAAGGTGGTGGACGGGCAGGTGCTGTACCTGTGCGGGGTGTGCCACCGCTCCTACATGACGCTGTCCAGCCTGAAGCGCCACGCCAACGTCCACTCGTGGCGCCGCAAGTACCCGTGCCGCTACTGCGACAAGGTGTTCGCGCTGGCCGAGTACCGCACCAAGCACGAGGTGTGGCACACGGGCGAGCGCCGCTACCAGTGCATCTTCTGCTGGGACACCTTCGTCACCTACTACAACCTCAAGACGCACCAAAAAGCCTTCCACGGCATCAGCCCGGGGCTCATCGCCTCCGAGAAGACGCCCAACGGTGGCTACCGGCCCAAGCTCAACGCGCTCAAGCTCTACCGCCTGCTGCCCATGCGGGCGCACAAGCGGCCCTACAAGACCTACAGCCAGGGCGCGGTGGCGGACGGGGCGGGGGGGGTCCTGCTGCCCCCCGGCGCGCCCGTGGGCGACTCCCCCGCGGCCGCCCCGGCGCCCGGCGAGGCCTTCCCGGCGCCGCGGCCCGAGCCGGCGTCGGTGATCGCCTACGGCCGCGCCGCGCCCTCCGTCATCGTGCGCAGCAGCGGCGCCGCCGCCTCCGTCATCGCCTACAACGGGCGGGCGGCCGAGGAGGCGCCGGGCGTGCCCGAGGTGCCGGCGGCGCCCGCGGCGCCCGCGGTGCCCATGAAGAAGCAGGTGCTGCGCGACTACATCGAGGCCCAGCGCGCGGCGGCCGCGGCGGCCGAGGCGGGCGCCGGCGACGGCACCGACACCGACACCGCCAGGACGGCCGCCCCCAACGCCGGGACCCCCGCGGGCGGCACCGGGGGCGGCACGGGCGGCACCGCCGGGGGCGGCGGCCGCACCATGACCTACGTGGCCAAGCCGGCCTACGCGGGCTCGGCGGGCGAGGGGCTGTGCCAGATCACGGTGCGCATCGGCGAGGAGGCCATCGTGAAGCGCCGCATCTCCGGCAACGACCTGCGCGGCGACGCCGGTGACGCCTCGCCCGCCACCACCACCGCCACAACCGCCACAACCGCCGCCACCCGTGACGACAGCGACGCTGAGGACCGGCTGTGGCGGCCCTACTACTCCTACAAGCCCAAGCGCAAGGCGGGCGGCACCCCCAGCGTGGCGAAGGCGAAGAAGAAGCCGCGCTGGCGCCGCAAGCTGCGCTCGCTGCGCTGGGCGCCGCCCGAGGGGGACGGGGACGGTGCTGGCGGCGCCGGTGACACCGAGGAGGGCGGCGGCGGCGACTCGCGGCGCCGCGAGCGGCTCCACCCGTGCCGCGTGTGCGGGAAGAGCTTCTCGGCGCTGCGGAAGCTGCGCAAGCACCAGCGGGGACACCACGATGACACCACCGCCGCAGTGACGCCGGCGGCGGCGGCGGCGGCCTCGGGGGGCGCGGGCGGGGGTCCCCCCGGCGGAGCCCCCCGGGTGGGGCGGCGGCCGTCGCTGCGCTTCGCCTGCGCCCGCTGCGCCAAGGTGTGCAAGACGGCGGCGGCGCTGAGCCGGCACGCCAAGCGCCACCGCCCGGAGTCCCCCCCGCCCACGACGCCGGGGTCGCCCCCCGAGTCCCCCCCGCCAC